AAAAAAAAAAAAAAAAATATATATATATATATATATATATATATACCCGCACATAATATTTTTGTTATAAATTATATATTATTATTATTTTTTTAATGATTAATCATAGTGACAGATATCATGATCATATAGCTACTGTAAATCTAGGATGTAGGTAAAAGACACACTAGGCTACTTCAGGAATTTTCGAAAAAAGCGGTGTTAATCATGTTAATTTGTCTTTGACATGTTAAACAGAAAATACTACCAAAAATGATTTATTAACAGAGTTATTTTTCAGCCTTAAAGATTTGCTAAAGATTGCATTTAACAGTATTATGAAATAATTAGTGTTTTTTAAGGATTCACTTTAAGTGAACGTTAGATGACAGCAAAAGTAATTTAAATGTAAAAATAAAGGAAATTATCAATTAAATATACGATACTGACTGATATTAATAAATGAATTCTGTAATGTTGGCCAGTAACCATTACTGTACTGATATATCTTCTCTTTTTCTATAGAGAGGGAAAAGAGTGACCACATGCTCGTTTGCCTTTCTGCTCATATTTCCACTGGTCTTCCAGCAGTAATTTTCTTTTTTATGTGCGTTTGTTTTTCCTTCCTCTCCATTAAGCTTCGACGCAGAGGTCTCGCGGCACATGCATTGTTTGTTAGCAGCCTGGGCAAATATAAAACATACTCTGCTACACATGAGAGATAACTGCTAGATAAAAGCTGAAGATGGAGGGCTGGAGGACATATTGTACTAAAACCCAAAATCCCCATTAACCCCTATTAATTTCCCAAACCAACAGCATTTACTGCAATATCGAAACTCCTTCCGTTTTTGTTAAGAGAGATAGTTCGGTTCAGCTTGAGCGCATTCCTTTAGATTTGCTGACTTTCTCCTTTTTTTTGTGCTCTGTGATTCTCGCTTTTGGCAGCCTGCAGCAGTGTGTTCTCATAAACAAACACACATTTAGTGATGTCTGCAGATCTGACACACTCTGCATACCAACTATCTCCCTACCTCTTATCTGGCTCTTATTCTGTCAGCTACATCGCATGTTTAGCATTACTAGCCTCCAATCCCAAAATGCATTCTCAAATGTCTGTCCTCCCTCAGCCTCTCGCAGGCAGTCTGCAGCAATAAAAGTAGCCCTCTTTTGACTTTGAGATCACAATATGGCCTTTACAACTTTTCAGCTTTAGGAAACGTCTCTCGACGGCTCAATCTAAACTGAAATCGTGAAAGCCACAGTAGCTTTTGCAGCTACAGAATTGTAAACAGGTCAACCAGACACTGTATTTGGCCCCAAGAAGAGCTGTAGATCACTTACCGTCACTCCAAAGAAGTTGGTTTCGTTCATCACGTCCAGAACCATTTTGCCCACCTCGCGGTCATCCACCGTGAAGTTGTGGTACATGTCGTGCCTCTCCTTGTGTCTGAGGAGCTCCATGACACGTGTGAGGGTCTTCGCAATCACCCACATGCCATCGTAGGCAAAGCCGTGGAACTTGCTGGCCTCCACTCCTTTCTGCTCTCGCTCACGGTTGTACTCCCTCTCGTACTCCTGCGGCATCTAAAAATTAGAAATCTTTTTAAAATCTACTGTGAAACATATTCACGTTGGTTTCAAACATTTTTAAAACCATTCATAGTGTTCTACTTAACATTGATTTTAATTACAAAAATGACAGTTGATGTAACTTTCAAGTAAAAGTCTCTTATTCTCACCAAGGCTGCATTTATTTGATTGATAATATGGTAAAAACAGTTATATTGTGAAATACTATTACAATTTACAATAACGGTGTTCTATTCATATATATATATTAAAATGTAATTTATTCCTGTGATAAAAAGCTGAATTTTCAGCATCATTACTCCAGTCTTCAATGTCACACGATCCTTCAGAAATCATTCTAATACGCAGATTTGCTGCTCAAGAAACATTTATTCTTATTATCATTATCATTATTATTATGTCAAATAAAACATTTATAATATTTAATGTTACAATTTTATTTTTAAATTTAATTTAATAAAGAAGCAGTGTAATTATCAAATAAAAAGAAAAAAAAGCGTCCTTGCATCTTGAATTATCAAAAATGTTTATCAAGGTTATAAAAATGTAAATTTTCAAATTTTTAAAAAATTATCATAATTATGGTCATGAATATCAATGCATTTGGTAAAACAGCTAGACTAATGCCAAATCAGTAATAACCAACATAAACCATTTCAACAGAGTAAGAATCTATTGAAACTGAAATTCATAGGTGAAACTGCAATGCATAATTTTTTCCTATTCCACATGGTGGATTTTTTTTTCTGTCAGAAATCAGAAATGTCACTCATAACTCCTGGGATCCCACCGCATTGCAGACACTCACTCTTCCTGATATTCCTTTAATCTGTTTGGCACTGAGAGGCTCAAAATCTACGCTGATGTAGCCCTCCATGGCTGTCAGCAGCTTCTTAGTGGTGCAGTTTGTGGAATTCGCCTGTTCCCACCAATTCCCCTGGTACCATCCTGGGATGATCCACTGGTACTTACTGCCATACATGTTCAGGTTGTAGGCCTGGAGCACACACACAAGATCAGAGACTCAACACACATCTCATTTCAACCAAAGAAAAAATATATCGCCTGCAGTCCTTTCAATGCTGACACAGCTAAATGTTTTTGAGGCCCATGTACAGTATGTTAAAGAAATCTACAGGCATTTCACAGTCTGAAGCATGATTTGAGACATGAAGCCGGCTAACTTACACAGCAGAAGACTTTAGCGGCCAGATTCTCATCAAACTGACCGATGATGATCCGAACATCATTATCCTATAGAGAGGGGCAGAGAACAAAATAAAACAGGTAATGGCTAAAGAGATTTACATAAAACGGTAACACTTTAGTATAGGGACCAATTCTCGCTATTACCTATGTAGTGAATTTGCTTTCGCCAACCTAGGGAGGCGAAATAGTGTAGTGATGGGTACTCGCGTCACCAATGACGTTATGATATTTGGATCACGTGTCACTTAAGGTGTGATTATGAATACGTCACATAAGAAAGATTGGTGGGATCTCTAACTTGTAGAACCTCTTTCTGTATCATCAACACAAGGAAGACACAAGTGTAATAAAATAGATTTTATTAACAAAAGAGTAATCAACAACTACTAAATGAATACCATAAATGAAATAGTAATAAAGTGCATAAGATGCATAAAATGCAAGTGATTATGTTGGGTGTTGCTTTGTCAGAGCTATGTTATCTGGAAAGATAAACTGTTGCTACTCTGAAACAAATAAGGTGAAGGACCTTATTATGCATCAAACAAATATGTGAAAGATTATTTGTTATCAACTGCAATCAGCTATATAACATCTAATGTAAATTAGAAAAATCATATACTAATAATACACAATAATGCCAAGGTCTCTGGAAGAGGTTTGGATAAGTGATAGTTACGTTCTCTGTGGTTGAGTGAGCAGTCTGGTGGCGGTGACTTCCACTGGTTGTGCTGGTAACAATGCAGTGGGGAAAGGAGCAGGAATCCGATTCAGCAGTATTGAACACGAAGCACTGTAGGATACTGATCTCCTGGAGCACCAAAGGGTCCTTAAATCTGGAAAACGCAGATGTGGCCCTGGAGTAGGTGCAGAAGGTCCTTGCCTGGAACACGCAAGCAAAGTACCTTGAAGTGAAGGTTTGCTCGCCGGAGCTTAACCTTGTTGCAGATGTCTGTGTGTTTTCTGCCTCTGAGACTCAGAACTTGGTCAATTCACTTTGTCTCTCTAGGATGGAGACTCAGGACATGCTGCATCTGTTGTTGTCTCGCCGGACGAAGAATCTAAACATAGAATATCTCTATCCTCACAGGCTGAAGGCTCAGAACGAGTGTATCTGCTAGTGTCTCACCCTTGCAGGCCGGAGATTCAGACGGTTGTGTCTGTTGCTGTCTCTTCCCTTACGGGACTCGGACTCAGAACTTCGGTGTTTCTGTTAGTGCCTGTTAGAACATGGATGATCTGTTTCAATCTCCTACCACGCAGGCCAGAGACTCAGAACTGAGGTATCGGTTGCCATCTCCCCTGTAGTGGGCCGCAGGCTCCGAAGGGGTGTGTCTGTTGCTGCCTTCCCTGAAGCAGGCTGGAGACTCAGAACGTAGGTTGATCTGTTATTGTCTCACTGGACACGCCGGAGACTCAGAACAAGGAGTGTCTTTTGGGAAGGTACCTTTATCTCTTTCCGATGAGGAGGAGATTGCAATCTGGCGCTTCTCCATTTCCAGGCTTATTTGCGTAGTCCAAACACACATTTAGAAAAGTGTCACCAAAGTTTTACCAGTGCATTTTTCACTTACCAAACCACAACCAGAATACATTTGGCAATGCTACGAACACATTAAGTCCAAACATGATGGAAGAAAATTTAACTTTCATGCATGCATTCATTTGTCCATTAACAGCTGAGTTTGTGTAAGATGTTGCACTACACATCACTGTCACTGAGAATACTTATTCCTCTGAATATGTATGAGATGTGTGTGTTGTAGTTTGCATCAGTTTTAAGGTTTGAGAACATAGTTATGAATGGATTTGGATGGAACTCTGTGATCTCTCTCTTTGTTTCACCCACTGCTGCTGTGTCCAGAGGTGCTAAGGAATTTTTACAGCAGTCACAGGCTAAATCCTGAGGAATCAGTCTGTTGGTGGGTGAAGGGCAGAAACTGCATTTTGACCAATAGGAAGTCCTGTCCTTCCCGGGCTTTGTACCAAAGGTCTTCTTCTTGCCCTCTAAGAGGTGTCTGGCTGTTGTCCTGGCATTATTATCTGATGGCGTTGGACAGTTTGCTTATGTTAGTCCACCAAGATCCAATCAAAATGTAGAAAACCTTTGTCCACTATTGTGGTCAGAGGGAGGCCCCACCATAAACTGGGCCCTGGAATGTTCTACTCACTACATATATCATAGTCGCCCGTCAGGAATGTCTCTCTGTTAGAATATAATTCCAACCTTGACACAT